GTTCCATCTCGCGCTCTGGCCTATCACAAAGGAGAGAAATATAGACTTGACATAGAGATGGGCAATGGCAAATTATCCATGAGCCAAATATGCATTCATTCACCGCAACGATGCTTACTGGTGTCGACGCATAGAGTACCCTCAACAGATTGTTTAATGCCGAATGCTTTGTACGCTTCTAAAAATGTTACAACGTCCGACCACTCCGTATTCACTGATTGGAGCAAAACGCTTTTCTGTCCTAGATGAATCTAGATATTTATTTCGATACTTGGACGGCTCGTCTTCACTGGTTGTGCAAACCCCAGCACATTTTCTATTCTTTCCTTTCCCTCGCAGTCCGTCGTCTGTGGTGGTGCTTCCATTTGGGCATAATGTGTGCGACTCTCATGTCGTAATGTATAGAACAACTGTAGCTGCGAAAACAGCTGATTGACTTTGGTTACGACAACATTCCGCCCAATGTTAGGTGGTCATCTTAGGCGATGTAGAATTTTGGAACAAGTAACGATAAACTCAGATAGCGCTCATTCGATTTATTGCATTCATGTCCACGAGTCCCACTGTGGCATTCAACAGACGTTTTTTTGGGTTTAGTATTGGTATTAAAATCCTGGCTGAGGGCTTTGAAGAATGTACGATCTTGTCTATAGAACCTTTCTGAATAGTATAGAACGGTTCGACTTCGTCTTGTCATAGCTTAATGTCGGCGCGAAGACGATGAGGGTTGTCAAAGCTGATACTGATCCACAACTCCGCAACAGTAGACGTCCGACTTAGATTTTGAGGAATCGACGTTTATGGAGCACCTCTCGATGGCGAGAAAGCCAACGCTGCCACCTACTCTATTGTGGTATGTTCCAAGCGGAAGGCTTTTTCTTCTCTCAGTCGAATCGACAACATCACGTCTTTCCTGCCTAAGTGGTTAGGTCCTCTGCAGAAAACTCGTATGCAAGTGATCGCACATTGTAGGTACAAATCGTCACCTCATCTCATCGAAGTTTAGGCATCCTTAATGTTCCTGTGCTTCTGGCTTGCTCTCTTTACGCTTGTGCTACTGGATGTTGCTTATGCCGGGAGCTGCTTCGGGGTAAGGAGAATTATCCACCTTATTTCACCTTATTCGGCATACGACATCCATGTCTAATTCCAGAGCTCTGAATATGTATGCTAAATATGCTCATAGATAGGTTGCTAGTCTCTTTCAGAGTAGAGCAGAAGTTTTTTTTCGAGGCGATTTCCAACCACCCTCGTATAATTCGCAGTTGTTTGATATCATGCTTTTGGCTGAAGTAACTTGCTGCGTATAATCCGCACAAATGAAAACACACCGATGCTTGTGTGAATGGACATGCCAACGTTAATGCCACCTGGGGAGCTTCAAGGCTGGTAGGCTGGATAACGTCTGTACGGATCCATGGAATTTGAAATTACTTGTAATTAGCAAGTGAATCATAAAGGAACAAATTAGTTTCTAATATATAGACACCTATATATAAACATGATGATAGCGGTAGTAACGAAGTTGATCCACCAAAAAATCAGGCTCTGTGTGGCAATAAACGCGAAACGCAAGTCGACGATGGCCATCGACGATTTGACAGCGCTGATATAAACCTCCACGGCAAACGGATGGATGAAGTTGATTGGGTAAAAGCCGGAAAGGTCACAGCTGTGAAGGATCAAGGTGGGCAGATGTTTGGTATTTGATGAGACCAAAGAAAAAATATCATTAGCGCTTCAAGCTCTTAGGTAAATCAATGGTTGACAGGTATACAGTGAACTATCACTGTTTGAGTGGGCCAACACGATATTGATGAAAGATTTATTCGGCTAAAGTTTCGAAGTCTTCTTCTCTCTCTGAGCCGATGATCTGAATCCGAGTCGATATGGACATTAAGGACGTATTGATTATTAATAACGAAGTTAAATCACAGTCGGTTTAAGAGTTTAATGTCATCTCTGCCAACTGATGAAATGCCGAAGACGTCAGCTTTGTCCACCCTGCTGTGGGTGAGGGGAGGGAGGTGTTGTGAATTATTGGATAGTTTCTACAATTACCAATCGTTCATGTTATCATGCTTGATAAAAAAGTTCGCTTTTTAAGGCAAGAGATTTTTATTGGATCCTACTGTAGAGATAAACACTTAGAGCTTAATATTTGTCGTTCACAGTTCTAACAAAGATGGTAGTATATAATGTATAACATACACCTGCGGTCCGGAGTTTTGGAAATATCTCAGCATTATATACTAGTTATATTTCGCAACATACCCTGCCATTAAAAGGAAAAAGGCAGTAAATAAAAGGGTTAAAGATGGTAATCTTAGTTTTCTGCAGACACATCGAAAAACTCGTTGAGCCTTCCCACTGATGTTCTTCTAGTTTAACATCACTTATTAACGTTGGTCAGATTCAGTGCCATTCGAAGCTTTCCACATCATCCGTTTCTTCCAGCTTTACTTCTGAAGTCAATTTGTTTATCATGATGAATTACTGTTCCTGGTTTGCAATGGTAGAGCATTCAGACCAGGCTCTTCCACTGAGTGTGAATTGGGAACAAAAGACAAGTCCGCTTCTCTCGGATATAAATTTCTCTGAGATCTGCAGAGGGTCGATGTTTCTAAAGGCACTGTCGATGTTTACTAATGTTTATAATTTATAAGATTGTATATCTAAAAGAAACGATATTATTGCTGAAGATAAGAGTACCTAGCTACGATTTATGAAGCTGAATAAAGTTAGCTCTTTTTTAGCCAAATCCAGGTTATTTCGACTTTGCGAAAAGTAGCGTAACTCTGAATGCTTCTTATGGTATCGTTAGCAAACCCCAAAATTCTTGTCGCTAAGTCATTGAATTTTTCATTAAGAATACTACTATGTTCTCCTGAAATTCATCTCAGATATCAGACGTATATTTCCAAAGTGGCTTATCTTGTCTCAAATATTCCTTATCAATAGAAATAAACTGCAGCATAAAATTCTGGAGTCTGGAGACGACGAAGTCGTTAAAGGCAGTCTCATCTAAGTTTTTGAAGTATTTTTCGCACAGAAAGTTATCTAGTTGCTCGATGAAGTAGAGTTTCGTAACCCAACTCGTCCAACTTCTGCATCGTCGGAAGTGCCCGTGTGTTATCGTGGGGATAGATTGGCACCTCTCTGTTGACCACTACCAGCCGCAACCGTAGACGTTTTTGGGACATTTTGTCGACTTCCTGGACATAGACCACTGCCATTATTGTCTCATCCAAATTCAGAGACCTTGATGGGTTAAGTCGGCAACCAACCACAGGATATTCAGCATGATTTTAGTGCAATTTCGACTTCGGAAATTACAGCGGCGCTTCATTTCTGTTCAACCACTTCTTCTCATCGGTTGTAACAGAAAACTCAGTTTCTCTCGACAGTAGAAATACGGTCGATAAACTAGTGGTTTTGGTGTCGCAGAAAAAGCGCCCACAATACCTCAAGATAGCAATTTCATTGATAATCAATCAATCAACTCGTATTTTATTTGTCGGGTCAGTTTACTTTAGAGCTTCTTTAAATGTTCTAAAGTGGCTGAGATGCTTATAGCGAGTTTCTGTACAGGTGTTCGAACACATTTCTGGATTAATTTCCATGATCAACTATCTATTAATTTCGTCATTGATCAATGCCGAGGTTAATAGAAAGTCGGTCGCGGGATTGATCTAATAATTATTTATACTCTTGTTGAGCAAACACGAATTATTATTTCATTCTCCATTGACGTAAAAGCTGACGTCTCGGCGGATTTCGCCTTCCTCAGAGTGTGGAAAGGTCAAGTTGACAGCAATCTACCCAACCAAACACCACTATAACCAAGAATTTTCTGTATATTTGCTCCGATATCAATAGCAGAAGGACACCCACGACTTCTTTCCTCCAAGGGCCAATTTGCCAACATAAAATTTTCAAACCATCGTGGCACATTGTGTTCTTTAACATCTTCCGTGGCCCCATAGCGCGTCAGTTTTTTCGAGCCGTTTGAGCTGTGCACGGACTTGTTTGAACTCGTAGAAGTAAATTCGTCGAAAAAGCCGACTTGACGTGCCAAATTCTAATCTAAAAAACTGCTCATACATATTGTGTCATAACCTAACATACACTGCGATGGTTCATAAGATGAATTTCTGGAAACATGCTGTAGTGCAAAACTCGGAAGAGAAGCTCTTGCTAGAACATATGCCAAAAAAATAAAGTATCAGCTCTAAGGTTACCTAGCAATTTAAACTTATTTAAGAAGCCACCAATAAGAACTTTGGTCGATTACCAACCACGAACACATTTCTCATAATTAACCCAAGAATTTTTTTTTGCCTTATTCGTTCAGTCTTCTTCATAATCTTGAGACCTTAGTAGCTTGTCCTTGTTTTTTCACAACGCTGTAGAAAATGATTTGTATGAAACAATCCAGTACCACCTGGCAGACAGACATACCAAAAGGCAAAGCTCGATTTAGTACAGTAGATCAATGGAAGTCCAAATGTCATCTCAGGGTGAGCACACCCGTTTGAAACCCTCGCCCACCACCTGAGTTTACTATTGAGAGCCACTACAAAAGCAAAATACCGATTTAATAAAAGGAGAAGAAAAGGAAACACGGTGGCAATGCCATTCCCCACAAGAACGATACTGGTTTGATCCTGTGCGAGCTCCACCAAGCATATCGTCCCTTTGGGGGCTGAAAATTGGTGCCAGACTTGTCTGCGATCACCTTACTACCTCCAAGCCACGCGGAAACGCTTTGACACGGCTATATCAAGACTCCAGGACGAATAGGGTTAGCCAGGTTTTAACGACATTCTTGACGAAGTCGACAATCTTCGATCATCACGCTAGAGAACACGCAAAATGTTGGTAGACCTTCGATGTTAGATGCTGGGAAATGAATAGAATGCATGAGAAGACAGGTCGCGTAAAGCAAATAACTCACAAAAATGTGATTAAAACAAGGAAAAACGTGCAAAAAATGCTACATGTCGTTGCTAGGAAGGTGCGGCTCGTGCTGGGCATTCGCGGTTGTGGGGTCAGTGGAGTCCGCACATGCGATAGCCAAGGGCCAACTAGTGCGCCTAAGCGATCAGGAGTTGGTCGATTGTGATACACAAAGCTACGGCTGTAGTGGTGGATATTCATGGTCTGCAATGAGGTTACGACTACTTTATTCGTTTTCTTTGCGATAGTTATATTTTATTCACGCGTCATTCGAAAATATGTTGATCAAAAATATTTCTTTTGCAAATGTTGACAGAGCTGCAAAAGTGTAAATGGCATGTAATAACTTTATTGTTTAGATTAACACTTTAAAAGGCTGTCTTTTGTTTTTAGTTTTGTGAGAAATAACGGCTTAGTGAAGGAGGATGTATATCCATACCTCGGCACCGATCAGAGCGATTGTGCTCTAAATAAGATCTTAACGGTAAGGATTTTGGTAATAGACTCAATTCACACATGAACTTAAACAACGTAAAGAATTGATGACGCATGAAAAAAGGGCGATGCTGATCTCTTTCGTTCCCTGAAAAATGGGAGTGATAGTGGCTGTGTCAAAGATGTTGCTCTTTCCGACTCCAGTATGATGTGAAAAAGATGCCTACTAGAACAACTACAAAACATTTTTCGAGGTAGTCAAAAGAGGTATAGGAATGAGTGTAAAAGCTGCCAATTCACCATTCAGTAAGTCGCTTATATTCAGGATCGAATATACATTCAAAACTACCGCAGATTGCCCGGTAACGAAGAGTTCATCGCTGATTGGGTTGCCACCAGAGGACCAGCTGTATTCGGTTCAACCTTATCGTATATATTTTCTTTTTAAAACAGGTTTTTAAATGTCAGAAAAGCATCTGGAATCGATGGAAATTACGTGAGAATTTAAAAGGTAGATGAAAACGCGTCTGGCACTGATCAATCTCTTACGGATGCGCCATTCAACAGACGTCATTAAGCGAATCGAATTCGATCCCACGCCCCGTATTAAGCTAGCTCTCCATCATTTCGAACTTGACGGATTGCTTCCAGGCTTATCTAGAAGAATAGCAGCACTGATCGATGCATTGATAGCTACCGTACGGCCTTGTGTAGGTCAAATATGAATTCATTTACATCCACGATATATTTATGATTACTTATTTGCTCCAGTTCTTTGCAAATTAATGTCTGATCTGGACTTGTATTTTCGAAGTAGCATATCTCAGCTCACAGTCAACTTCATTAATCGAAATTAGAGCTGTTAGAATCCACGTATTTTTTTCAAACGAAAGTCGAGTTTATTTATATCAGTTTCATATGATCCCGGAACCCAAGAGTTCTATTACTCTGTCGCGAAGTTCTGGACCAGCTATGTTCACTTACAAGAAAGCCAAGATAAGATAAGAAAGATACAAGATGAAATCAAGTGACATCGCTAAAAATTCACCGACACCTTACTCTTTATTCCTTTATACACACAATCATTTTTTCCATGAATATGTGAATAGGTGAGTTTAAGTGCACAGATTCTATCCTACACTTTGATTCGGCAAAAGAACTATAATGAAGTCAGCAGACTGTACAAAGAGAACGACCTGGGGTCTCCAAAAATAAATAAACCACAAATCCTTTCCGTAACAATTCAATGACCTACCTATTGGCATTCTCGTGCCAGAAACGACTAAAAAACTGCGCAATAATAAACGTACTATGCCGTTCGAGTCAGCAAAGTCAGAAATTCATGGCACCTCTATGACACGACTAAGCAAAAAGAATTTCCCTAGTTCTCCTCAGGTTGCCTAACAGTTATTTGGGAAAGAAATCACTTAGCCGATCGAACAGGGAGGAGTTCTAGTGAACTGAAGACAAACTCTAAAATAGAGATAGTAAGAAAAAAACTCAATTCATGTGTATTGATTTTTTTTCCAATAGCGTTACTAATTAACTGGAAACCTGCATTTTTTGAATTATTTTCATTTTAGGTATGGAGGTCACAAAAGCTTTATTCAGCTATCGTGGGGGTGTATTTTCACCAACGAAAGAAGAGTGCACGGTAAGTCAGTTACAATAAAAAAAAAGTGCCAACGAGGAATTTAAAATCTGCTAGAGAGAGTGGCTACAACTACTGAAGCAAAATAGGATATGACCAATGCTTGTGTTGGCCTTCCTGGTTAAAGAATTGGGAACGTCAGAAACAAAAATAAGTTAGATAATTTCAATAATAGTAAAAATGTGAGACAGAAGGATAGAATGAACAGGATGTCCGGTCGAAAATATTGGCAGACTAGAAAACGAGTTGAAACTATATACTGAGTGAATAGCTCGTTCTAAAACTAATGCGCTTAAAATTGGAAGTGAATAGTTCTATACCTAGTACCCGCAGTAATGCTTGTCGTGGAAAGCTTCCATCCCGATTCTTTTTGACTATGTTGTCAGTCAGATTCATTGAGTATCGAATGATTTGAGTTCTTTGCAATTAGAATGCTCTTTATTCTAACTGGTTCATTGCTTGTTAATGAACAGAAGAGTGTTCCTAACTGAACTGAAATTCACGTTTGTAATAGATCTATATCGTTAAAGAAAGGCTCACTCGGTGGCCACGCTCTCATTTTCGTCGGATATGGTACTGACAGCAGCGGGAGAAAGTACTGGCTAGTGAAGAACTCATGGGGTTCACACTGGGGTCAGAACGGATACTTCAAATTGGCTCGTGGTCAGAATGCTTGCAATGCTGCGGATGAGGTTTTCGCGCCGATCATCACTTAGTAACGATGTGTGTGTGTGGCACCTTGGTTTTGCAGCTGATGATTTTTTTTCTTTTTTGCTGAAATAATAAAGATTATCCATTTTTATTGTTTTCTTGTGTTCTGATCTCAAAGAAATAAGCTTAACGTAGCAATTTAAGGATAGTGGTGGTGTCTCTGGACATTCTACAGTTAATATGGATCTTTGTATATATGGATAAGTTTCATTTTATTACTGCTTTTAAAGAACGAAAAGAGTATGGTTTTGCTCCAAATCATAAAAACATAGTTTTGAATGTACTAGGTCCAAAACTTTGAGGGCAGCGTGTTGCGCAGTGGTGGGAAGCTCTCTGCAACACACACGTGGAATCGATCCCCATGCCCATGGCCCACCAAGCCTTCCATTCCTCGGTGCAAATCGGTACCAGACTTGTTTGGTAGGATGGCAGCACTACTGGCTTGACAGATCGGTAGGCCACCGCAAGTCATTGTAAAGGCCAGATATCCATTCGATCACATCCGACGATTCTTAATGAAGTCGAATGCATGGCACATCCCTCAGGGATAGATCAACGCCGACAGCTTTATCTTGAGCTTTTAGCTTAGCTTTATGCATGATCTTTTTGAAAAAACATGCCTTCTATTGTGTCAACCTGCTTGGACAGTGCTTTTCTTAAAAAGACAAACAAGAAACACTTCGGTAGTCTCCTTGTGCTGAATGACCAAGAATATGCCATGATACGAATACGCCAAAAGTTGAGTAATCATATCATTAATAAAAGATGCATCATTGCAGTAGACCACACAATTAGCACAGAGGTGACGTTGTAACCTTTTTGAATAACGAGAGAATTTTCAACCGGCCGTCATTTAATCCCGGTAGCAAAATGATCAACATGTCTTCAAATTTAAAATTTTAACTTATTATTTACTGCGTACTCTTTTCAAAGGCAGGGTATAATGCGAAAAATAACTCTAATGATTATGAGATATTGCTGTGGCAAAAAGATCGATAGAAATAGCTGAGAGACGTGCGAAACAAAGGACCCGCATGCTGTGGTGGTGAACGCGTTACTCCCCGGAAAGGATAATAGCGCGTTCGTTCCCCACCATAGACACCAGAGTTTTGCAAATATCTCAGCAACGTTGTGTTGCACTGAAGAAGATCAGTCTCGGCACGGGAACGAAGACGCTACATCGAAAAGACGAACTGCTGTGGTCCACACACTCGGATCATGGGCTCTGATGAAGACGAAGACGTCGAAACCGTTTCTGAGTAAAACTATGTCATCAATTTTGTGTAAGCTTAACAATTTCAAAGCATGCTATTCAGAGAATTATCTCTATGGAACGGTCATTCTTCTTTCGACTTTTACTTCAAACGTGAGGCCTTGTATATTTTCCCTTCATATGAACTTGTTTCGCTGGATCGTGAAGTCAAACATTTCGTCGAAGGTCGAAACTACGAAAAACGAATTTTATCTGAACTTCGAGCTGAACCGCTCTCTACTGATGCTCTAACTTTAACAAAAAGGAGACCAACTAGTTTGTTTCGTTTATAGAAACACTGAGTGGAGTCCGCGCTCCTTCTATAAACGTCCTTCATGAGCTATCAAAGAACTTCACAGCCATAATTCCGCCTATTCGACAAAGACATTGTTAACGTGTGCAGACAGGACTTATGTATGAAGGTAGCATACCAGAAAAATTATTTTAGGACACTGTGGTGAACATCGTGGGGAAAACTGGAATGGGATAATATGGAAGTGGAATTCGATGCTTAGCGTTTACATCTTCTTCTCTTTGCCGACAACATCGTCATTATAACATAAGCAAGTAGCCAGGAGGAACTATCATTAACCGATTTCCACAATTCACGCTTATTAAAAGATTTGTCTTCAACTAGAACGCAAAAAGATGCTCATCAAGCGCAGATATTTCTCTGATGCTCTATTCAACAAGATGAATACCTCTTTCTTCAGTTGAGGGCCTCTGGATCAAAAATCCGTCGTGATAAACTCCAGAGGTGAACAAGAGCAAACTATCGTTTCAGGTGGACGGAGAACAACTATATGCGTGCCACCTTTCCTATACTGTTTATATTGCCTTCACGTGCACATTTCTGGATGTTAAGAAAAAGAGTGAACGAACGATTGTTGTTATCGAAGTTGCTACCTCTGAAGAAATGCTTAAAAGTATTTTATCATGCAATAGTCAGACGAAAGGAAACCTCAATTCTACATTGGCGACCGAAGATCGGGAACGCAACCGTACATGCCATATCGGAAAATACGGTCTAGACACAATGCACTGATGACAGCCAATTTTAACTGAAATCGTTAGCGGCTGAATATCGTAGAATTTTATGGTCACATCAAAAAGACAACCTACCAAGCATCCAGCTTTTGAACGGAAACGGTCATAAATAGTTTTTTTTTTCACAATTATTCATATTAGCCTTCATGTGTTAATACTATTCCAAGTGAGGAGAATTCCTTGCAAATTTTTCTAACAATCATAGGGATCTATTTAGTATTACATAGCCCGACTCTGAGCCAGTTGTTCAGGAGGCTCTGCTCGCACAACAACTGCAAAGTAACTTTCCGCTCAATAATTTCTAGAGTGAAAATATTCGAGAGTCGATTTATCCATCTTCTTGTTATGCGATTGGGAATCCGTCTTGTGAACTCAAACGGGTCATTTGCTTTCGTTGAAATAAAACATTTCACATGTTCGTCCTAACTGCTTTTCAACATCATGGAATAGGATCCGATGTTCATTGGCTAGTATTGGGCGAAACGGCGATTTTTCTTTACCACATCATCGCTGATTTTGTAGGCTTTTTAGGCAAGTAGTGTTTCTCTGCTCTACTTTTGAGCGTATCCTTCTACTATGACGATTTCCACAACCAGATATACCCGGAGCACTTATAGATGCTGATAGTTAGCACCTTAAATTGGGCAGAGAAAACAAGCTCCTCTATGATGAACAACGTTTTCTCATTGTTCAGTCGAAGACCGTCATGTAGAAGAAAGAAGACAAGAAGAAGACAGAAGACAATACTGGAGAAATCAGCCAGCATTTGTCTCGACCGACCATTGCCTATTTTTAAAAACAATATCGCTAGCGAAAAGAAATTGTTATAGCTGCCTTCTACTGTCGCTCTTCTTCCATTTAAATTCTCGTATGATTCTGTTAAGCAAGGGTCCCATCTATTTTCATGAATTCGACGAGCTCTTCTGTCCTAAGAAGAACAAACCCTTCCACTCAAACGATTGTTGTCTAGGTTAGGTAGCTATGTTGATATAATCTATAGTACTGAGCGATTTGTGAAGCGCTCTTTTTCAAATCATTCAGATTGCTGGATAACAGTAATCTTCCTAAATTTCTTTAGATTGTTCAGCATAAGATTGTAAAACAACTTTTATTCGGCTAACGTTTCGACGTCTTAGCTTTGTTCAAAGAAGAAGAATGACGTCGATAATACGAACGACGGTGGACCGTCAGTTCGGATCATCTGCTCTGAGGAAGACGAAGACGTCGGAACTCCAGCCTAATTAAAGTTGTGTAACAACCTCGTGTATGTTGAAAAATCTAAAAATTTATTGATTACTCACACCGAGTTTAAACGAATGTCTATTTGTAAAGAAATTTTGGTTTTAAAACTGATGAATTAACGGCAGGCTTCCTACACGCTGTTCTGAAATATTACCATTATTTCTCTTTCATCTTTTATATCTTCGTTGGCCGCTCTTCTATTGAGGTTCGTATGTTCAGACGTGATAACGTGACGGTCATTTAGAGCCTTTGTAATTGATAAATATTTTCCGAAGAGCTGACTAAAGGAAAAATGTGTTCGTAGTGATGGAGTTGAACCTTTGGATGGTGTCGCCTAACATGTACATTTGAAAAGCCAGCAGTAAAAGTTAGGTGAAATACTCGACTGGAAACCATATATGAGGACTTTACGATTGCTAGTTTTTTTCATCCTAATTCCGTTTTCTGGAAAATGGAGTTAAACTGAAGTTATTTGCAATCGCTGAACGAAATAATCGTTGGAGGTTGTAGTGATAACGATGAACTCAAATCCTTTCTCCATTTATGAAATAACAAGAGGTTGGAAAACGACACTCTTCTTAAAGATTTTTCTTCTAAACTAACTTCGTGTTAGCTCGCTAACGAATGATTATTTATGTCGAGGCTACGTGAAAGTCGGTTAATAAAAACATCGTAGCTCGCGATAAACCCAAGCTTTTCAGTCCTTTCCCTCAGATGGACTGTATCAAACGCCATTACTAGCGAGGAGAACTCTCTCAACAACTGGCAACAAAAAAATAATTAGCTATTTTTATAAACAGACTTCTATCAACATGATGATCAAAATAACAGAGATACTAAGGAATTTAATAGCTTTAGGGTAGATAAAGCCTATTTAAAGTACAAAAATCCGTCGATCATATATAGCACCCTATGAAACATCGTGGTCGTCAGAGTTATGCTGGAAACACGCACAAACACACACACGAGAGGGAGAGAGGAGCAACTCCGTTAGGACAGTCACAAGGAGGCTAGGATGCAAACACAATCACAAACATTTGAACCGGATACCAAAGGGCTTCCTTATCACAAAAGTCTAGCATTAAACATCAGTATCGATCAATAACAACGTATGCATATAACCATTATTATAGTATTAACATTAATATTAATATATATGACCATCTTCATCATATACGACTATCATTTAGAAATCACATACATCGATTCTTATTCACCAAGGCATGCTAGTTGTTATTGCCAACGGACATATGAGTAATGGAATATGTTAAGGAGAACTAAAAAGAAACGACGAGAAAAAAAGAGAACAATAACAAGAAATGAAAAAAAACATACACACAGTGACAAAGCGCATACTGCATTTCTTCTAGGATACAAATGTTAATACAGAGATCACAATCACTTTATCATATTTAACAGTGATGTGATTCTAGGCGCATTAGGAAGAGATCTGATCACAGATTT